TCCTTCAAATGAAACGTTGTGAAGTCCAACATCAACTCTTTAGATGCTTCATGGCTCTCCAGTTAGAAGGAACTCCTAACAATGTATTTGCAATACACGTCAATGGTACTTCATTACATTTCTCATTAAGGGAGTTTGCGCTTGTGACTGGCCTTAAATGTGTTGGTAATGATTCTGATTTTGAGTTTAGTAAAAAGGTTCCTAACCGGCTTATTGAGACTTACTTTGGAGGTGCCAATCTTGTCAAGAAGAAACATTTGATGAAATGCTTTGCTGACAAGAACTGGGGTCACGACAACGATGGTGATGCCTTGAAGATAGCTTTGTTGTATTTCATACACACCTTCATTTTTTCATCCGAGAAGAACAGCACAACCATACCAAGGCTACATTTTGACTTGGTAGAGAGTGGGCGCTATTCTGAATATCATTGGGGTTTAAAAGCATTTGAAACGCTAACAAAATCGATTAGCAAGAAGATGGATGCTCAGAAGAAGTATTACAGGATAGCTGGGATGCCCCTAGCTATGAAAGTGTGGTTTTATGAGTGCTGTTCAGATGTTGATCCCAAAATTGCACTCCGAGTTGATAACGTGGTCCCCAGAATACTCAATTGGAGAACCACCGGAAATCAGCCAAAGTTTGCTTATCTGATGAACGACATGTTCAATGACAAGGCAAACATGGTAATATACAATTTATATCGTGGCTAGTTTAGATTTTACTAATCATTAATTCTGCATACATTTGCATACAGATGCATACAGATTGCATACAGATGCTGCATACACTTGCATACATTTGCATACAGATGCTGCATACATTTGCATACAAATACTGCATACATTTGCATACATATGCATACAGTAGTATACAGTTGCTGCTGCCTTCATTTTTAATTCTTCATACAATTACATATAATTTACCAATCAATAGTGCTGCCTTAATTTCAATACAATTACGTTTTGATTCCAGATTTTGCAATGTGTATGTTTGTAGTAAGACTTTGATTGTATTTCGTTTTTCAGATTGTTTACAAGGACATCCATCTAACCGATATAGAGCTTGCCGTTATTCAGATTTCTCCCGTAGGCATTGATGTGGAGAACAGTCCTACTTCTGCTCATTCAGACAAGTCGGTAGAGGATTCGGATGACTTTTCTCCTACACTTGATCTTCAATGTAAGAAGAAACATATTGCAAGTGTTGGTCCATCTTCATCACCGCCCCATAAAAAGCACAAGGAACAAGAAAGGCATCCCTCAAATACAGAGTTTCAATACAATATTCCTCCTGTTTGTGTATCCGAAATTGGACATAATGTTTTGCATCACAATCAGCTGGCAGATTCAAAAAAGGATGAAGTATCTTCTTTGAGGAAATACCTAAATTCATTCAAAGAATACGTGAGTATTTATCCACATATTAAACATTACAATTTAGTGCTTAATATTCATATATTTTTGGCGCAATCTTCTAATTATTTCTGTCTTGCTAATGTTGTGGGCTAGTTCAAGTCGCTGAGGACATTGATCAATGATAACTTTAAGAAGCTTTCTGACCATCTTCAACACAATCACAAAATGAAAGTTTACACCAGAGAAAGGAACCCATTGGGAGACGTGATGATGGTATTGAAATGCCATATGATGCCAACTTGCAAGATATTTCAAAAGGTCACAGACAGACTAACACAGCTGTCGGGGATAATGTTGAGGTTTAACATTTTTATCTCCTTTTAGCATATGTTTATGTCTCATGTTTGCTATTATTCGGATTAATCATATATAAAACAGTTCAGCAACATTGTGAAATACATGTACATATATAGAATTATTCAGTATTTTTACAAATCTTAATCCTATATGCATTTATATTTTCCTGAATTTATTTCTGCAGTTATTTTTGTGCTCTTCGCATGTTGTATCTACATGTATTCATATAAATTCATACACTGATTATGTATGAATTTAAGATGTATTTTACTGTATTCATATGTATTTTAAATGGCATCATTATTGTTAAATAACTGCAATTTTTTAATGTATTCATATGTATTTTTAAAGTTATCAGTAATTGTAAGTAACTAGTATTTAGTTATCAGTAATTGATCAATGTTATTCTTAAATAATTGTATTTTAAAAGTTATAGGTATTCGACAAACATTTAACTGCCTCACTAGTACTGACCAACAACATGTATTAAAAAGTATTCAGATGTATTTTAACCTTAATATGTAGATGGAATTAACTGTTGTATTTAAATGTATTCATCCGTATTTTAATATATTCAGTTTTGTTATTTTTGATTATGTGTGATGTATTTCAATAAGATTTCCATTACCAAAATCAGTTTTGCAGTGTATTTATATGTAGTTAACTGTATTCATACACTAAGTTGCTACACTAACAATGATGCATACTGATCACAGAAAACAGTGCTTAATGTGTGGAGTCAAGAGTTGAGGGGAATACTACATCAGCTGTGCCGTGCAACATACCACCTACAGGTCAAGAGGGTGTATCTACAGATTTCTATGTATCTCAATTTGAGCTGGACGACTGGTTTTTTTCCCAGTCAAATTTCAGAAACTAGAATTGTGATACACAACAGTGCAAAAAAGGTTGAATCAACCCCAGTACCATCTCATAGGAATCGGCGACCAAGTAGATGGTATTCTTCGCCTTATGAGTCTAACTTCGACTCCGCAGGTTAGTGTTTTTATAAACTAATGATCTATTTCCCCATGGTTTTTAAAATTAAAAGTATCTATTCATGAATTCAATGAACAACAAGTACCTCAGTAAAGTTGACCCCCATTTTTGAAAAAAGGCACCCCTTTGAGGATGATTCAATAACGGGGCCACATCCTACATTAATCATTCAGGAATATGATAAATGGGTTCGTGATGGTCTTCTCGCTAGACATGAACAGAAGTGAGTTTTTTCCCGGTATGTGTATTAAGTTTTTATATTTTAAAAATTGTATATAATGTTTTTTATATCATACTTGTAGAAGTAATTTGGAAGACCATTACAAGAAGAACAAGTCGACACTTCATATACCATTGGATTTTGGAGTTGATCAAGTTAATTCCAAAAATTGGTTTTACCTTCTATCGTTTGACGGGAAGCTATGTGATGACAACGTAAGTTTTACCCCTTCCAACTCCACTATAATTTATTTCTTTTGTATTGGTTTGTCTAGTTGTATAGTTCACAATGATGTTACATGTAAATCTGCCTTATTTAATTTAGTTCAGGTGTAAACAATTTTTATTAGCTGAAAATGTAACATGTTTTTAACTGGATCTGTATGATGAATTTAATGGCATCATTATTCCTGAAGTACTGCTGTATTTTAATGTATTCTGATGTATTTTCGAAGTTATTATATGTTGTAACTAGCATATGTATTACAGTAATATATATTTAACTGACTCATTTGTTTTGAATAACAACATGTATTTAAGTGTATTCAGATGTATTTTAACATCAATGGTTAGTTGTAATATCTTTAATATCTGCTGTAATATCTTGAATTGGACTATCTGCTGTATTTTAACTGTTTCTGCTGTCATACCTACTGTAATATTTGCTGAATTTTAACTGTATTCATACACTCATTATTTTAACATCAATTGGTATTTATTATTGAATATCTACTGTATTCCAGCGTATTCAGATGTATTTTTCACTATTTAGATATATTATTCTTTAATCTGTGTGATGTATTTAACTGAGTTTTCACTTGTCATATTTTTTTTCTTAGTTTGATTAATTGGACTCACACTATGTAATTAAATTTGTGTATAGCATATTGACGTCATATTCTACTATTTGAGAAAGAAGGGAAAGTACAATCAAACAAGCAACTTCAAGTATGCAACTGTTGATTGTATATTCAGGACAAGAATAGCTGAAATCTTCGACAGGTATGCTGATACAGATAGTAATGCTAATGTAGCCAAAGAAGAGGATGTGGTATGTGAGTACGTAAGGGGCTACAGATTGCTAGCTAATGTACCTTGGCATACTGTTGACAGTGTCTTGATACCAGTCAACTTGAAGGACAAACTACACTGGGTATTAGCTGTTGTCTCATTCAAGGAGAGATGTATCAAAGTGTATGACTCGTACAGATCTGCAGGTCATGATGCCTATGTAGCTTCTGAGATAGATAAGCTAGCTAAGCTTGTACCTCTGTATCTATCAATTAGTGGCTTTTACAGAGATAGTCAAGGCATAGATTGGTCTACTTACTCAACATACACTGACAAGTCACATACTGATCCCTCTGAAGTTTTTTCCATATCAGATCTGCCTCAACAGAAGGCTGGGAGCATGTAAGTATTCAATCATCATTCTGGTATGTTATATACAAATGTAATTGTATGAATTATTTTTAATTATTTCAATCAACATTTTTTAGGGATTGTGAGGTGCATGTTGCGCCACACGCAGAGTTTCTGAGCACTCTTGGTGAGATTCCACAAACAACATTTGATTCCAATCTACTCCGTCAAAGATATGGTGCTCTCCTCTGGGACTATGCTATGCGGAAGATAGACGCCGATGCCATAAGCAAGAATGAAGCACCCTCAAAGATTGCTAGACAAATCACAGAGTCAGATTCAAAGATGCAGATAGTGTTAGAGTAGCTTTAGGTTACTGTAGTTTTGGAATGTTGTTTTTAGGTGAATACTGTTTTGAGTAGTTTTTTGGTGAAGATGGTATTTAGTTAGAAGAACTAATCACTTTATCAACAGTGTCCAGTAGTGTGAGTCCAATTAATTACAACTGAATTCAAATGCATACAAGACATATTTTATCTAAGTTGAATACATCTGAATATAACTAAAAACATTCTTCAAAATTCTGAGTTGAATACATCTGAATATAACTAAAAATATTCTGCAAAAAACAACTATTCGAATATGTATAATATAGAGTTGAATGAATTTCAAAACATGCTGCCAAAATCAATTTCAACTAAAAAATTATGTAAAATTATGCACACGTAACCTAGCCCACTTTTCGTATCCAGCTAACTCTAAGTATTCTTTCACCCTAATATCTACCTTCTCCACCTTCTCCATCAGACTGTTAAATTCAGCTTGTGTGTATGCTTTTGCCATCGAGAAGTATATCTCGCTCAACTTGGCATGGCTCTTTTTGAATTTCTTATATACGTTGTTCCATAGATGCCATATACAAGCAAAATGCGGTCCATCTGGATACACTTTCGATACAGATTTAATGATACTCTCATTTCTATCTGAAACGATGCACATGTTTTCCCTGTAACCGTATGCTATCTTGAATTGCTCAAAGAACCACGTCCAAGCAGCATCGTTTTCTGAATCAATAACACCATATGCTAGTGGCAATATATGACCTGTAAAGACAATTGAATACATATTTTTTAAACATGTATTCAATCTTTAAAAATTATCAGATTTTATTATGATTAAGGTACTCACCTGCACCATCCAACGTGCTTGCCGAAACGAATGTCCCGGTGTAGTAAGATTTTAGGTGACTTCCATCCACAACAACAATGGGTCTACAATGATCAAACCCCTTTATAAAGGCATACAAAGATATATACACGTACATGAAGTCCTTTTTGGGTGATTTTACCATTCTGATGTGGGAACCTGGATATGTCATATCCATTGTATATAAGTATCCTGGTAATTTTTTGTATGAATCAGCCGGTTCACCTCTCAAAAAATTCATTGCCTTTTCTTTAGCCCTCCACGCCAACATGTAGCTAACATCTACACCTAAATCTGTTTTCACATCATCAATAATATCCTTTGGGGTGTATTTCCTCTTATGATTAGTAAGCTTAGGCCTAACCATACCACCTATAAGGCTGCTACTTGCCTGCCGCTGCTCATACACCTTGTCCTTCAGCGGACATGTATGGTTATCAACAAACTCTCTCACTTTGAATAGTTCTTATTTGTTAATGCTTGATGCCTTAAACCTCCATTCACAATCTTCTGAAAGACATAGTATCGCATAGCTGCAAAGAATTTATCATTGTACATATGATTAGCATAAAGGTTTACAAAAAAATGCATGACTGTACACTCTAATACAATCTTACATGAATACATTCTGACAACTATATATATAAATTTTTATACTATTGAATACAATTATACTTATATGCATCTAAATACAATGAATACAATTGAATACAACTATTTTTATATGCATACACTTAAACCCACAATAGACAAAATAAGAAAATAATTAGAGGCACTATAATATCTTATATCCAGTAAAATACATATGAATACATGTATTTAAGGACCATAAACAAACATATCTTAAGCACATCAGTGATAATCAAGTGGAAATCCACAAATACGCATAAATACATCAACGTTTGGCCTACAACTCGAACCAATAATAGAAAATACAAAAAATAAAAATAAAAATTAAATACACGCAAACCTGACAGCATTAGACCTATTAACCCGGAATTGAAACCTTTGAGATATAACATAATTCTCCATCACCTCTTTCAATGTAGCCTTATCCTTATACATTTGTCCAGCCACAACCTCCCTTTGATTAGTTTTTGAAATTATCAAATCCTTGTCCAGTTTGAACACCCCAATTGCTTCTCCTGAATTGACAAAACCTAGAGCCAGTGTATCATCTGTATCGGAATCATACCTTTGAACTGCTTCGCCTATTTGCACAATGTCGCCTTGATTTAAACTACCTCCGGATACAAGTTCTTTTTCAATAGTTGTTATGCACAAAGGATACATCCCGAATTCTCTGTTCTCTTTTTTCAACTCTACATACACCCTGTAACCCATATCATTGTGTATTTCTATTGGCGTGCAATTTCCTTCTACTTTGTATTGAATTCTAATGGAATTTGAGCTCAAATCTATGCCCAGATGATTAGAAATTGAAGCAACCAAATCATTGTACGACGCATACTCCTTTATCAGTATTCCCTCAATTGAAAAATCGACGTAATTGCCCTCATCGTTCCACTTGCCAGAATGACGCAACAACACTGTTAAACTGGCCATATGTATAAAGGAACTATACCGTATTTTGTATACAATTTGTATCAATAGTAATTTTCCGTGGTTGAATTGAGAACTGCAAACAGAGAAAAGGGAGAAGTGAATGGAAGAACTTCGATCAGATGTTGCTATTGTTTTCGCTATTTTTTGTTTTTTTGGAAGCGTGAATGGCAGAATACAGATTAATGGGTAATAGTATTGTTCGTTGAGTTAAATTAGGAGAATATCATGTGTTGATTTCCTTTCCGTTTTTAACTAGTTAAACCTTCCAGATTTTACGCACACACGTTACTGTATTCACGATAAGGCCGCGTGAATACAGTTAAATACATATCAACCTTAGCTGGAATTCCCTTTTTAACGCCTTTTTTTGCTATTGTATTAATGAATACAATAGCTTAAATACATCAAATACATTGTATAACCACATAAAAGGTATCTATAATACGTAATATAGCAAAAGGTATCTATAAATGACTAATTAGACCTAAAAGATGTGCTTTATGAAAAATTCTCAAAAATAAATACACCGTCGTCCTAAATTAATCCGACCCAAATTCAAACCCGAGAAAAATCAGATCCGCTACTTGACCCGGTACCAGACCTCTACATAGAGCAGACGCCATTGGTCCCAACTCCCAAACGCCAAAAAATTCAACTTTCTTCTCAACAGCAGCAGCGCCTGAACACTGAATACTCAGCTCTAAAGCTTCGATGTGGCCGAGTGCAGAAGGAGGGCCTCCAGAGGTCACTCTAGAAACTTCCATGGGTTCTTTTACACTTGAGGTAGTCCTATATTCTGTAGTTGGGTTTTCTTTCTTGAGTAATGTGGATAAAGGTTTGAAATTTGATTATTTTATTTATAGATGTATTACAAGCATGCGCCAAGAACGTGCCGGAATTTCATAGAGCTTGCTCGAAGAGGGTACTATGATAATGTCAAGTTTCATAGAATTATCAAGGTATTTTTTTTGCTCTCATCTCTTTTCGATTGTTGCTAAGTTTTAGTGATTTTAGATAATTGTTTACATTGTTTTTTGATTTTATGTATAGGATTTTATTGTTCAAGGTGGAGATCCAACTGGTACTGGAAGAGGTGGAGAATCTATTTACGGGTATGTAAAGGCCTAAATGTTGTCAATAATGTAAAATATGTATGTCAATTATTTCAAATTTGAGTTTAATTTCCAATGTGAGTACGAGAAGGCTAAGTAGCACGATATAACTACTTCTTGCTGGAGAGTAAGTTACAATGAAACCAATCTAGAGGAACCAATCTAGTTAGTTCTGGAGACCAAGCATCTCTTTTCTCCTATAAACATGAGCCTCTCTTGGCCTATTTAAAAGACATCAACAAGTAATGAAGGTCTCTCATCCAAGGGGGTGGCCTAGTGGTAAATGAAGTTGGAGGAGAACATCAGGTCGCAAGTTCAAATTCCAATAGAGGCAAAAAATTACTAGGTGATCTTTTCCCATCGGCCTAAGCAGCGGCGGAGCCAAGATTTTCACGATGGGGATTCAAACCATAAAAAAGGTAAATAAACGAAAAAGTCAAGGGATTCAACATATAGTGTATATACCGCAAAGAGGCAAGAGTCAGCAATCATTTGACTCTTTTAACTTCAGGAGGGTGACCTTTCAATAATGCCAAGGGTCTAGTCCTTTTAATAAAGTCAAAGAACCATGGCCTTTAGCAATCAACTGACCAACTTAGGAGACGAGATGAATTTCTCACGATTTAGGAGTAGCCCTCTTATCCCTTATTTCATTTTGGTGCATTCATGAGGTTCCTTTATATATAGAAGATTGGTCGTCATTTGTGGAAAGCCATATAGGCTTTCTACTTTTTGGTATACTGTGGGGCGTTGTTTGCCCAAACATTAATAAACTTTTATTACATGATTAAAAACACTAAGGAGAAGAGAATAGCTTAGTAGATTTAAAAACATCAGGAACGGACATCCACATTTTGATATTTTTTGCAACACTTCTCCGTGGATGTCCATTAATAGATAATGTTAGAACTATCAAGCGATTTTCTTCTTCTAAGTTGGCCATTCTATTACTAAAAGGTCATGATTCTTTGGCTTTATTGAAAGGACACGTTCCTTGGTACTATTGAAAGGTTATTGCCCCTTTTGTAGTTGAAGAGTCTAATGACTCTACTCTTACCTCTTGGCTTTTTGGGAAGGATAAACCCTTGCCTACAAATAGTTAGGTCATTTTCACTTCCGGTAAAGAAGATATCAAAAGTAACAAAATATCTCTTGAAGTTCCTTGTATAATTCACTTGTTGACTTTCTATCATTTTATAACGCATTATTACTAAATTATATTAATAGACATCTAAGGGGAGTGTTGTAAATAATATTGTATTAAATGTATATGTCTGTTACTTTAAATGACTCTCACCGTCTAAGTTGCTCCGACATGGCATTTTAAGTGTTGCACCTATGTTGACTCGACACTAGTATGGATGTGGGTATGGGCTATGTACCGGATTTGGTCTAACAATTTTTGATACTTTGACCAAATTAGAACCAAAACTAGGGTAAATTTGAAGAAATTAGCATACCTTATCTAGTAAAACAATCATTTACTTATTTACAACTTGAGAAAAAAAAAAGGGCAGCCCGGTGCACTAAGCTCCCGCTATGCGCGGGGTCCAGGGAAGGGCCGGACCACAAGGGCCTATCATACGCAACCTTACCCTGCATTTCTGCAAGAGGTTGTTTCCACGGCTCGATCCCGTGACCTCACATGGCAACAACTTTACTAGTTACGCCAAGGCTCCCCTTCTAGTTGCAGCTTGAGAATAAAAAAAAATACATACTTTACAAGCTATACGTAAGTATTCCACAAAATTTCTCATAATTTAGAGATATTTTTATTTATTTGATTATTTTTAGTCGGATCCCTACACCCGTATCCGTACTAGGATCCGTTTCCCCCAATCTTAGAATTTACATCTCGAAGGATCCGACCTCTGGATCCGCACCCGTGTCCGAGCAACTTAGCCCACCGTTCCATTTTATGTGATGCATGTATCTTGAGTTAAACAGACTTTCTAAGTCCTTCAAACGGGGTAAAAAGAGACAATTTATGCTTTCTGAGTCCTTCCCATGCAAAACACATTTTGAACACAGCTGAAACGCCCTTTCATTAAATTATCTTGAGTCAAACATGCTTCTGTTGCAACCAACCATGAAAAACACGCTATCTTTGCTTTCCAAATTTTGAAGAAATCAACTATTCTACTCACTTCCCTGTCATTAAGCAGTCTTCTAAACCTTAGCTGGCGTTTGAACATAAATTTGGTTAAAAAAGAGTTTCTGAAGTTGTGTTGAAAAATTATTTTTGGAAGTTAGAATTGTGTTTGGACATGCATTTTACTTGAAAAATAGTTGAAGTTTTGTGAGTGGAAGAAATTTTTTTATTTTTGGAACTTGAATATTTTTTTGAAAATACTGATCAAATTCTATGAACAAATAATGTTTTCAATTTTTTTTTTGAAAAAAGTAAAATATCTATGCCCAATTAGATTCCACCCTTGTTGGTTCCCGACGTCAAAAATAGTTGTGTCAGGCTGTTGATTCAAGCTGAAAATAGTTGAACATTGAAGTAATTAGTTAAACTTTTTTAAGTTGCTTTTGAAAAGCTAAGTAGAAAGTATTTTCCTTTGCATGACTTCTTTCTCTTTAAGTGTTATTATTCCAGCAGCTGCGCTAACCATTTGGATTATCTTATGTATTGTACAAATCAGTTTCACTACATCTGATTTGTCAGCTGTGAAAGGTTATTTAAACAGAAATAAGTTTATCAATTTTTCTTAAAGTTTACTCCCTCCGTTACAATTTATGTGACACATTTCGCTTCTCGAGTTTTAAACTGTATGAAGTTTGACCAACATTTTAATATGTATTTTGTTAATCATATTTACATGAGAAGAATTGCAACTTATAGCACTTTTCATACAGTTTTACTAATCAATTTAGGCCTCATTTGTTTGCACTTAATGGAGGTCTGAATCTTTTAATCATTCAGATCTCAGACATTAAGTGCGTTTGTTTTTAAAGTCTGAATCTTAATTATTCAGATCTTAATCATTAAGTGTGTTTGTTTTTTTTACTTCACAACCTCTTAATGAGTCTGAATAGGTCTGTATGATTAAGATCTATAACACAGACTTAATTTCATTAAGATGCTATCACATATTCATTATTAACTGCCGCCACCGCCTACCATTATCAACTGCCACCACTACCGCCATACTCAACCACCGCCGCTGCCATCTCCACCACCACCACACCACCATCATCCTCAATCATAGCCGCCACCATTATCGACTATCACCACCCACTATCCCCACCACTTCGACCACCATCATTCTCACCCACAATCAACACTTATCCACCTCAACTACCACAACTGACCACTCCATCACCCTCAACAACCACAGCTGGCACTGCCCATCATATAACCTACCACCACCCACCCACCACCTTCCTCGGTCAAAACAACTACTACCACCCACCATTATTAACTATCACCACCAGCCACCACCATCCTCAACCATAATCGCCACCACTACCAATCACTACTAGCTACTAGCATGAACCACCATCATCAACCAAAACTACCACCAACCACCGCCTCTAGTCAGCATTCACCCGTTAGTCATCAACACAAACAACTATCATATTTTAAAAAACTATATATTTTATTGATAGAATATTAGATTAGTTAGTATTTCATTTGAATTTTATGTTTATTAATTTTCAAATAAAGATAAATTTTATACATTCAGATGTTAAAAATCAAACAGTCTTAATTATTTAGTATTCAGATCTTAATACACGTCTTAATATATTCAGATGTGTATTCAGATTCAGATGTCTTAATCTTAATACACATCTTGATATTCAGATGTGTATTCAGATTTAGACGTCTTAATCTTTAAAAAAACAAATGAGGCCTTAGTTTCAAAGATTAGTCAACATTACTCTCGATAAGCAAAATGCGTCATATAAATTGAAACAGAGGGAGTAAAAAGAAAAGAGGGGGAGAGATGAAGTGGATCAAATGTGTAATCTCACGTGGCTAAAGTTTGAGTGCAGAGCAGCATGCCGAGTACATAGTTACATTGCTGCTGACTACACTTCTGTTAGAGGTTTATTAAAACCGTTCTAACTAAAACGGGAGATGTTTCTCTATTTCCCAATAACTGTGAATAATTGGGTTAACTATCTGTTCAAGGTTGCTGCAAACATACATATATTTTTCTACCACATGCTTTAGCTGTTGTCATTCTGCTTCTAGTTTGTTATTCCAGTGCCTTTGAAAAAGATACATCATTAACGAGGAATTGATGGTGAAGAGTTGATGGGACATCTAATAGTAGAGTCATTTGCTGTTGTTTATTACCATTTATTTATGGACATGCTAAAACTTGTCTGTCATACATTGTGAAGAGGGAGATCATCTTTTTACATAATTGGCCTTCGAGTAACTTAAGAAGTTAACCTTGCAGCGCGAAGTTTGATGATGAGATAAACCAACAGTTAAAGCATACAGGAGCAGGTATCATATCCATGGCTAATGCTGGGCCGAATACAAATGGAAGTCAATTCTTCATCACCTTGGCACCTGCACAATCACTTGATGGTAAGTACACATCCAGCTTGTTTTCCGTCAATTTGTGTGAATATGCTTTTCGTTGTTGACTCAGCTGGGTGTCCTGTAGTACACATGGCTGATTTATTTTTCGGTTGCTCCCGTAACAACTTTTTTCTGTTTGTGCATCAAGAGGTGGAACTATAACTTTTGATTGAACTTGAAGCTATAAGGAACCATTTAAATGGTGGAAAAAAGGAGTTTCAAAATTCAGATGAATCCAGTGTCTGTCAAAATGTTTAAGCTAAGTTCATGGATGACTATCCATATACTTGAGGAGGCTCCTCTATGATGAGATGCTGGTCAATCTCTTTTAGCTTTTACCGAGACAGGATAATCAATTCATACCGAACCAAGCTGGAGGAAGAAATATTCACCCTTCTTTCCTCGATTGTGTAAAAATTCACGAGCTACCCTATTAAGACTTCCTTAAAATATATGGTACATAAGGCCATGATCAGTTCTTGCGAGCGTTCTCATTTTTCAGTCAGACAACTAAATTAGGTTCTGCATTGTCAGGATATAATATTTGTTTCTTGAAAGCCATGCTTTTGAGTGCCATATACAAATAGGCTTGATCCATTATTTTGGGCTTTGGGTTTCTGGCACAAGGGATCTAAAATGATAAGTACTATATTAGACCACTGATATAGTATTTTGGTTTTTATGAAATTACTCCTGTAGAAGAGCTAGCCAATCCCAATTATATATGCGATTGAGGCATAGCTGATCGACTCTTTTAAAGGTGCTTATACCTTTTTGATTAGGAGGGGTGCTTATACCTTCTCTATATCAGGAAGGATAATAGTTCACTTTTCTCTTTTTCCTTATGTAATTTTCAATTATTTTCAATTGCACTTTGAAATTATAGACATGACTTAAGTTGCACTTTGAAATTATAGAAAATATTCTTGAGACATTGGTTTATGCTGAATGTAGTACTCCACCTCCAGCTCTGTTGATATGTCCTAGTCGCAATTAGTATTAGCATGGCGAGTACAGTTTCCATCTCTTCTTTGTTTGTAGTCTGTTCTTATGTCGCATTGATAGCTGTTTAAGTGCACTATTAGCTGATGAAGTTTTCATTTATGTGATTGATGTTAGGGAAACATACCATTTTTGGAAGAGTTTGTCGGGGAATGGAAATTATCAAGAGACTTGGCAGTGTTCAAACTGATAATACTGACAGGTATTGTGCTTTCCTATCATATACTTTACATTAGCATGAGAACAAATGTCATGCTGCAGCTTTCCTAAAAATGTTATGCCTACAGAAAACAACGAAAATCAAGTTCATATTTGTTTAGAAAATGTAAGTCGCAAAAGGACGATAATTCCACTTAACTAGTATCCGTGCGGGGAATTATAAAATTAAAAAATAATAAGAAATATTACTTGAAATGGTAATGAAAAGTGATCAAAAATAATATGTTATTGGTTAATGAAAGTAACAATCTCTACTTCTTAAACCGTATTTGGAACAAAAAAAAATAGTCACAATCTTTAAAACTCTACAATATATGTAACAAAATCACCGTCTCTGTTCAATTAGCTTGAATTTATTACATAAAATAAAATAAAACAATGAGCTTTACGAACAAAGCATTCTCGGCGAACTCCATCTTTCTCTGGAATATAAATCTAAGCAAATGCAAACTGAACTCACTTTTCACAACAAATTCCACGAAATTGTTTGCTTTCTCTGGCTAGAAACTTTATCTGACAAATGAATTCATGTAATGATCAAAGATCGAACATCAAAGATCAAACTTTGGATAAACATGTATGATTTCTGCCTTCCACAACCAAAGTTGTTGTTTCTCGATGTATGACTTTACACTTCCTGAATTGTTAACTCGATGCGAAAAACTCAACAAAAATATTACAACAATGATGAAGACAGAATTTGGCAAAGAAATACGGGCAATGTTACATTCACATATGTAAGATCATGCCTAAACTAACTGAAAGGGTAATGTTTCTTTGCATTAAGAGTCGCGCAAATTACAAATTTTAATCCATGTAGTTTAATCATTCCTAATACTTTATGAGTTTTAGTGAGAATACTCCATTTTTAAAAAAACAACCCCATCTGCTAAGAATAAAGGCTAAACTGATATGAAAGAATTCTAGAAAAAAAAAAATCTTCCTTTCACTATTTAAATCGAGGAAACAAACAAAAACTTAAGAAATTCTTTCTTGTGTTCTAAAGATTTTAAAGAAGGGAAAAGTTTTATGTATTACGTTGATAAAAACTAAATTGAATAACTTACCCTAGTTATAGAGAATTAATTTTAGAAATGAAGAATCAGATCTTTTGGCCGAAAACATTCTTAAGCTGCCAAAATCTATGCAATATCCTTAAGTATCCATGTGGACAAAGGATATCCATAAATCTTATCAAAGTGAACAGATCTTTAATTGCACACTTGGAAGGAAAAAGTCAAAAACAGAAGGGAGTACATCAGCTGAGATGAATAATTGCAAAATGATGATCAGATGCTTAGCAATTTACTCATCGAACAACGAAAAATCACAAAGAACGATTTTGGATGCAATTTTCCCCGGATAAACTTGTATGATTTCTGGATAAACTTGCTAAGATCATGCCTAAACTTACTGAAAGGGTAATGTTTCTTTGCATTTAGAGTCGCGCAAATTACAAATTTTAATCCATGTAGTTTAATCATTCCTAATACTTTATGAGTTTTAATGAGAATATTTTATTTTTAAAAACAACCCCTTCTGCTAAGAATAAAGGCTAAACTAATATGAAAGAATTCTAGAAGAAAAAAAATCTTCCTTTCACTATTTAAATCGAGGAAACAAACAAAAACTTAAGAAATTCTTTCTTGTGTTTTAAAGATTTTAAAGAAGGGAAAAGTTTTATGTATTACGTTGATAAAAACAAAGTATGTAGATAGTCATATATATATATATATTCAACATTCACACATGAAAGGAAAAAGTCAAAAGCAGAAGGAAGTACATCACCTGAGATGCATAATTGCAAAATGATGATTAGATGCTTAGCAATTTACTCATCGAACAACGAAAAATCACAAAGAACGATTTTGGATGAAATTTTTCCCGGCAAATTTTCCGGTGAAAGAAAAAAGGGAACTATACATTTTTTCTAATCCAATATATGCAAGAGGAGAAATTCAGTTAGTTTTTAAAAGGAAGGGAGTGGAGGAAGTGGGAGTAGTTGGTGGTTTTTATTGGTAGTTTCTATTGCTTGAAAAATTTAAAATTTTTGAATTTTGAAGAAAAACGTGTCTTTCAAATTTATTTTTAAATAAATTTGAATTTTGAAACTCCAAGAAAGTTGGAGGATTGTCCAAATTTTTTACATGTGTCAATTTAATGTTATGCCACTTGTCATCATAATAGTTCTTTGACTCTCCTATTCTATATATATAGATAGATAGATACTGGTCAACTTGTCCTTGCCGCAGAAAAGGATAAGAATATGTTTCTGTTATATGTTTGAAAAGCATGAGAAAAACCTTATTTGTGCATTTGAAGTTTGTTAGCCCTCTCTTTAATCATACTAATGAGTATGAAATCTCTAATTCAGATTTCGTCTACTTACTCTTCCATTGGATATGAATGCAGACCAATCCATGATGTGAGGATACTGAGGACCACAGTCAAAGATTAATGTTCTGCAACTTCAAAGCAATTGTTACCATGCGCTAGAGGTGGTGTTCCAGCGTTGTCAATTGTCATCACAGCCAAGACACATGCTACCTTCGGCTTTTGTTTCTGCTTTCGAAGTTATAGAAATTGATCTAGTCCTGTATGTTGTGGGGGTGTGGATTTTAATTTTCTGCAACTAAACCAAAATGATACTTGAGAATTAAAATTGCTTGAGTAGCCAAAGCAAAACAGTAGTGTTTCATGGTTTGTAATCCTACTCTTGTGAAAGAAAAAGCTCGTAAGGTTCCTCTTGCTATTTTGGTATCATTGGGACCATTTTTAACTATCATTTTGATATCAAGAAGACACTTCCGTTAACTTCCATTCAAATCAGTTAAAGTGGAGGGCAGAAGAGTAGTTGGATTTTACTTATTGTGGCTAATTATGCACTAAGCAGTAAGCATACATCATTTTATTTTACATTAGATATTACTATTATTTTTGCTTAACGCGTGCATATTTTGTAATTCCTTTTGTCCCAGTAACATGCATTTTCTCCATCTGATATGATACAAGTTTGGCCACAATTCTATTTCTTTTGGTCAGACCCAACATTCTACTACAAAAGAACAAATAAATGAGAGAAATCAGAAATAATATAATGAATAATAGTCATTGCTTCCATAATCCTGTCACGATCCAAAATCTAGCTAGTCGTGATGGCACCTAACCCAATCCGTTATGTAAGCCAATTACAACAATCCGATTCAATGAGATTAATAAGGCAATTAAATAAAAGAAAAAATATCTAAATCTTATATATTCCCCAGGAACTGGTAGTACAAATCACGAGCTTCTAAGACTTAGAGTTTACAAAGCTGGTATGAAATAATACATCATCTGTTCGAAATGTACATAAACCGATTTTTAATAATCTAAGGCTACCATGAACAAAAGACAACTACAACCGGAACGCAGGTACATCTTCAAATCCAGCTCTCATCGAACACATCAACATCATCAGCCAACATCTGCACGTAAGGTGCAGAAGTGTAGTATGAGTACAACCGACCCCATTTACTCAATAAGTAACAAACTTTACCTTAGGTTGAAAGTAGTGACGAGCTGGAATAGAGGTCGGAGTCCAACACAAATAGCCAACAATAGTTCATAACAACATAATGAAAATAATAAAAGAAGTAACTCAGAGATAAATTGCTCAACTCATCCCCAGTTCTAGAAAATAGGCATGCTTTTCAAGTATATCAGTAAAAACCCAAATCCTTTACCGAAATCGCCAAAAATATGAGTAAGTTTGAAAATTGAAAATTTTCCCAAAAAAAAGCTTTCCACAGGTAAATGTTTCATTTTCAAGTGGCATGAGGAAAATACATCTCTATGCCTATATGTCAATATGTGTGAGAAGTCATGAATGACGTGATACTGTACAGCATGAGGAAAAATGCATCTCTATGCCTGTATGTCAAGTGTGCATGGCAAATGCGATGCGACCCAATGATAAAACCATATGCATACTCTCAGAGTATCAATTCACTCAGTCCTCACAGTCACTCGGTCATCACAACCACTCAATCCTCACGGTCACTCAATCCTCCCAATCACTCGGCACTCGCACTCAGTAGATACTTGCGCTCACTGGGGGTGTGTACAGACTCCGGAGGGGCTCCTTCAGCCCGACATCTATAACAAGCCAATCATGGCATAAATCAATAAAACATGTTGCGGCGTGCAGCCCCATCCCATAAACATCCTCACCATCAGGCCCTCGTCCTCACTCAGTCATCAATCTCTCTAGTCTCTCGGGCTCTCAATTTCATAAAAAATTAACCCAAAAATAATGATGTGTTATATCAATAAATGATATCAGAGACTGAGATATGATATGCATATGAATGCGTATGACTGAGTATGTAATGCAATGAAAGCAGATAACTCAACAGCAGAAATAGCCTCAGTGATCCCAACAGGATAAGCGTGTAGCCTAGTTATGGTTTCTAACATGGATCACAACTCAATAGCACTAGTACGTAGAAATTTCATGGTTACAGGTAAGATAAGGTAACTATAGAATACCACAGAAATAACGGAGTCACAATTCACACGGTGCACGCCCACACGCCCGTCACCTAGCATGTGCGTCACCTCAACACCAATCACATAACACGTAATTTGGGGTTTCATACCCTCAACACCACGTTTAGAGGTGTTACTTATATCTGACCCCGGGCCCACGTGCCCGGATTCCGAGATTTTTCGAGGGAAGTTGTTCTCTACAACCTAAGGATCAATAATATATGATTTCTATTTCATTTCATAACAAATTTCGTGGTTAAACTTAACTTTTATAATTACCTCGAACAAGCCAAACCCAATACCGAGCAAGCGAAACGATTCTCCAAAGATGCCATCACGCGCGTACCGACCTCTGAACGGCTCGAAACTAGCCAAAAGCAACTCAAATACATCAAATAAAGTCCAAGGAAACAATTCCAAATGATAAAGGTCAAATCCTTTATCAAAACCCAAAACCGGCCAAAAGTCACACTCGGGCCCGCACCTCGAAACCCGACAAAACTTATAAAATCCGACAACATATTCAATTACGAGTCCAACCATACTAGTTTCACTCAAATCGACTCCAAATCGATGTTCAAAACTCGAAAATTCATATTATGAAACTTTAGGCTAAACCACTCAATTTCTCTTTTGGAACCCTCAATCAAATGCCGAAAATGAAGATAGATTCATGATATAAAATCAAAAATGAGTAGAGAACATAGATTCATGATATAAAATAAAAAAATGAGTAGAGAACACTTACCCCAATCCAAATGGTAAAAATTGCTTCAAGAATCATCTCAATCCGAGCTCCATAGCTCCCAAAATGTAAAAATGGCCGAAACCCCCGAAATAGATTACTTTATAATCAGTGGGCAACTTAATGCATCGCGATCGCAGAAGAACCATCGCGATCGCGAAGAAGAAAAACAGTGCTCCTGGAAAATGCCCTACGCGATCTCATAAGTAAGCTCGTGATCGCGGTATACACAGCTGACAGAATTATGCGTTCGCGGAAGAAACCTCGCGAACGCGAGAGATAACCAACACTGCCTCAGCTCAGTCCCAAACACAATGCGAACACATAACATCGCGAACGCAATGCTTAAACTGCCACAACATATGCGAACATGGACAATCTCTCGCGAACGCGTAGAAGAAGAATTACACTGCTCCAATTTCCCTTACGCGATCACACCACTAAGTCCGTGATTGCGATGAAAAAATGTGACACCAGACATCAGCAGAACACAACAGTGCAAAATGAAGGAAAAATAGTCCAAAATCAATCCGAAACACGCCCGAGCCCCTTGGGACCCCATCCGAACTACCAACAAGTCCCGAAATACAACACTGACCTACTCGAGGCCTCAAATCACACATAACATCGAAAAGACGAATCGCACCTCAATTCACACTTGATGAACTTTGAACTTTTCAACTTCCATAACTCGTGCCGAAACATAGCAAACCCACCCGGAACGAACCAAAATTTTGCACACAAGTCCCAAATGACATAATAAAGCTATCCAATTCCCGGAACAACAATCCGAATCCGATATCAAAAAGTCTACTCCCGGTCAAACTTTTCAAAAATCCAACTTTCGTCATTTCAAGTCAAATTGAACTACGGACCTCCAAATCACAATCCGGACACGCTCCTAAGTCCAAAATCACCCAACGAAGCTAACGGAACTATCAAAACTCCAATATGAGGTCAAATACTAAAAAGTCAAACTTGGTCAACTCTTCTAATTTAAACTTTCCTAGTTGAGAACCATTTTTCCAAATCAATTATGAATAACTTGAAAACTAAAACCGACGATTCACATAAGTCATAATACATCATACAGAGCTACTCATGCCCACAAACCACCAGGCAAAGTGCAAATGCTCAAAACGCTCGGTCGGATGGCCCAAATATAGGGTCATAAAACATGAATTTAGGATGGCCCAAATATGGAACTGTTTAACCAAAAAATAAGGATTTTGATCAAAGCTTATTTCAAGAAGAACTCGGGTTACTGATAATCAAATAAAAAAAAGAATAAATGATGTAAAAAATAGCTGAATAGAAAGCAAAGTAAATTCGTGTATTCCAATAGTCTTTTGTCCCCTTACAAATGATCAGCTTTCCCCTTTTTATAGCTATCTCTAGGTAATACGTTTTGTTTCTGTCATAATAGAGCCATTATTGAAAATCAATGGAATTTAATGTAACGTTATAAATGGTAATCATATTTTGATTTAGTACAGATTCCCTAACGTTTTCCGTAATTAATGCCTATTGATTACTGACAATACATATCTATACCCTTTTTTGCTATCAGGTTCATTCTCTTAGCTCGACCTTCGATCATAAAGAGGTCCGAGCATTTATCTTTCTTGAATCTCTTAAATTCATGCCCGTGCCTGTTGTTGCTCGTGCCTCTTTAACTATTCTTTGTCAATCGTCATCCTTTGACCAGTCTACGTGTCGTGACATGTCACTTTTTGATCAATTCTATATATGAACTTAATTTTTCCCAATACAGATAGTCCCCCCACTTGCCATTTATTCATCAATAGAATATTTGGGAAGTGGATTTTATTAAAGCGGGAATATTTGCCTCCATTAATTCTTCTTTGGAACTGACGCTTCATTTGTCACTTCCATTTAATATTCACAACACGTGCATCTCCTGGTTGGTTCTGCAACTTTTCAGCGTTTTTAAGGCTTTTTTACAGCTTCACCAATTACGAAACGACAGTTCTCATTACGACGTTTCCATCATTACACCTTTTCCTTTAACGGTTGCTTCTGAGTATAAATATAGTTTTTCACCTTTGTCTTTCGCACAAAAAGTTTTAGAAGATTCAATTCTTTCTTCCTTCTTCCTCGTACTACTATGTCTTCTTCAAACCCTAACCCTAGGAGAGTTACCATCATTGACAACCTTCCTCTTGCTCCTGTTAGGAGTAGGAGAGGAGGTAGACTTCGTAGTTTAGGGTCCTCATCATCACGAGGCACTTCTCTTCCTTCAACAAGTTCTACACCCCCTTCTAGAACCAGAGGTTCTCTTTCTCAAAGGTCTTCATCTAGAGGTAAAGAACCCACTGAACCTCTTCGTGAACCTTTGGTAGATGAGATTGTTCTCGCTGAACTATCTTTCTACAATGATAGAGAGTCTATTAGAAACCAAGTTTCTTCTATGTCTTCTTTAGATCGTGCTGATATTTACCCAACTCAGATCACTAAAGGTTTGATTTCCGTGGTTCGTAGGGATTGCCACTGGAGTCATGATTTCCCCATTATAATC